TTATTAATAGTAGTTAGTAAATCTAAGGAAGATCTATATTTTCTTAATAGATTTTAGTACTTTCTATTCTTTAATTATAGTAATCTTATTTTATTCTATCTATATTTTATTTAGTTAAATAGTATATCCTAAGAAGTTAACTTTTTATATATAGAAGAAACTTTTTTCTAATTCTATAAGAAGTTTTACTTCTTTTAATTTTTCTAAGACTTAGTATATATATTCCTTATATATTTCTAGATTATTAGAGAAAATTAAAATATTATTAAGATAAATAACTATAAAGATATTAAGATATTTCTAGAGTATTTAATTAATTATTTATTAGAATATTATAGATATATTTATTAGTCTAAAGAGTATAATAAAATACTTATAGAGGCTAAACTTTATTCTAAATACTATTTTCTATTTATCTCTTTCTTTAATTTATATTAAATTATAAGCTCTCTTTAGATCTAAGATAGTAAATTACTATTTACTCTATAATTAATCTCTAAGTTTAGTAATTAGTAATAAAGATATCCTATTCTTATATATAATCTTATTTAATTATTAATAGTTAATAATTAAATAGAGTTTACTATTCTTTTTAGATATAAATATTATAGAGTATTCTATAAATAAAGTTAATAAATATATATAGCCTTTTACTAGTATATTATTAATATATTTATAGAGTATTTATAACTAAGGTTCTATAAGATTATATAATTTATAGAAATTAGATTCTTCTTCTTTAATAATAGAGATTTTATAATCCTACTAGCTATATTCTAATAGCTCTATTTTAAGTTCTTCTATAAATAGTATCTTCTTAAAATAATTATATTTCTATAGAATATTTTTAAGATATTTTTCTTATTTTAGATACTTAGTTTATTTATACTTATACTAGATATTTTTTTCCCTATTCTATTATACTTTTTATTAGTTACTTATTTAGCTCTATTTCTAAATTCCTATACTAAATAGTTTTAAAGATAGCTTTTTAATTTCTTTTTATTATTAATTATACTTAACTTTATATTCTTATTATTATTCTTTTATTAGTTATTTCTAATTAATAGATACTAAATCTATATCTAAAAGTAGTTCTTATTTCTATATCTAATCTAAGATTTATATTATTTATCTTAGTTCTTATTATAATAGATTTCTTATATTTCCAGATTATAGTATTATTAAGGCTAATACTACTATATCTACTTATTATTATAAGTTATTATAGTTTTTTATAGTAGTACTTCTAGATATTAAGAAATAAATATATTTTTCTAATATCTAATAAAATTTTAATTTTTATTAATTCTAGTATTAGTATATAAGAGTATCCTTTTATTCTATCTAGCTAATATACTAATTAATTAGTAGGTTTATATTTTAAAGCTATAGTAACTCTAGTATAACTTTATAGATCCCTAGTAGTACTAAATTATAGATAATATTAAATTTTCTTTCTTAGATTTTAATTATAAGATAATTAGTTTCTAAATTAATAATCCTATTATTATACTTAAACTTTAAATTTTTAATATTTATAACTATATAGGTTTCTTCTTTCTTTTTCTATAGTAAGTAAAGTTAGTTAATTACTACTAGTAAGATATAATTTTCCTATACTCTATAGTTAATAAATACTATAAATTAGTTCTTCTTAATCTCTACTTCTATAAGGATATATATAGAGCTTCCTGTTTCTATAGCTCCTAGGGTTCTCTAATCTATTATTAATATTATACTATACTATAGCTCTATTATAAATAGTTTAGATTATTTTTTATCTAGTTAATTTATTCTTATAGTTAGTTTATTAGTAATTAGTAATAGTATATTTTACCTATTATATATCCTATTCTATTCTTATTTATTAGTAGAGATAATTCCTAATTCTTCCTTATTACTACTTTCTTTACTATCTATAGATAAAGATTAACTATTTAAGTATTATTCTTATATTTCTTCTTTCTATAGTTATTATTATTTAAGATATAATTTAGTAGTATTTATATTATTATTATTATTCTATACTAATACTAGTACTTCTTATTTAACTTCTTAGTAATTCCTATAGCTCTAGTTATAGTATAACTTAATATAACTATTATAATTATATATAGCTTATTCTTCTATCTACTAGTAGTTATACTATAGTTTAATCTTATTATTCTTATAAATTTTATATCTCTATTCTTAGTATATCTCTACTAGAAGTTCTCCCTCTATATATTTTTTAGAATACTCTCTTAGGTTTTCTTTAAAGGTAGTATAGAATTCTATTCTATAGTATTAGTAGGTAAACTATTATATTTAGATAGTATTATACTTTCTAGATATTCTTCTATTAGGAAATAGGAAAAAATTATTTACTATTTTTTCTTATTAATATATAGTATACTAAATATTATAGTATATTATTCAGAATTCTAATCTATAGTTATACTTTCTGCTAGTATTTATATATATTAGATTCTTATATCTATTACTAGGGTATTAAATAGTATCTATAGTATCTCTTCTGTATAATACTATTTCTTATACCTTCTTAAGGTTCTATATTTATATTTTTTATTAATAGTAGGTATAGAGCTTATTATATTCAGCTTTAATCTTATCTCTAGTAAATATATATTAGTTCTATTCCTTAGAGGTATATTTAATAAGTCTATTAATATAGTAGAATATATATTTATACTTAGTAAGAGATCTAATATCTATAATATTCTTTCTTTCTTTAAACTTCTATTTAAGTTTCTAAAGAATATATATAATATACTATTAGTTTTTTTCTAATACTATTTATTTCTTCTTTTTATTACTAGTTTCTAATATTTTATAGAAGTTTAGTATAGGTTTTCTGGAAAATATAGGAACTATAGTAACTATATAGTTTCCTTTCTAAGTAATCTTTCTAACTATTTCTAGTATTTTAATCTTAGTTTTCCTAGTTACTTCTAACTACTTCTTATCTTCTCTAGTAGGTTTCTAATTCTTCTATTTCTTAGGTTTTAGATATTATAGTAAAATATATCTAATCTTATTATAGTTATAATACTTATATTTCTCTATAGCTCCTAGCTCTATAGGGCCTATATATATCCCAGATTCTATAGATAGTAGTAGGGTTTATTATACTCTCTAATTAGGTTTATTTTTAATATAGTTTTAATTAGTATACTTATTTCCCTTCTACTATTATCTTTTATATAGATAGTTATTAATCTAGATAGTATTTACTATATATCTAAATAGATCTTTAGATTTATCTATCTTAAAAAGTTAATCTTTAACTTCTTCTTTAAATCTATTATAAAATATAGCTTTAAAAGAGCTATTATCCTAGTCTAGTTATATTAAGATTTCCCTGAACTTAGTAGTATATCCTAATACTAGTTCTATTTAGTATAAATTCTTAAGATTCTTAATAGCTTACTATTTTTTATCTACTTAACTAAATATTAAAATAAGTAAAGTCTAGAAGTTCTTATAGCTAGTAAGAGTATTAACTATCTCCTAGTCTTATAAGCTTAATATAGTTTTATTATTATACTAGTTCCTAAGATAAGCCTAGAACTATTACTTTATAGTACTATTAAGATATATTCCTATAAACCTAACTTTATCCTTATCTATTATAAGCTTAGTTAGAAAGAATTTAAAGTATATTTAAAATTAGATCTTAAATTCTTCTAGTTTATTAGTATTATCTAAGAAGGGTTCTAAGGGGGTTAGTTATATTATCTCCCCTTTATCTTTTATCTCCTTCTTCTTAAGTTATTTAATTTAGATTATAAGTTACTATATAATCTCCTAAGCTATTAGGGCTTATAGGGTATTATTTAGTAGTTTAGTAGGGGTTATTTTATCTTTTAATATTATATAGTAATTAAGATAAGGTAATCAGCTAAATAAGAGTTATTAATATATAATAGTTAGATAACTTATACTAAATAGAATCTAAGATAAATTAGAATTAAATTAATCAGAGTATTATTCTGAGTAGTATAATCAGATTATCTTAGGCTATATAATATAAGTTACTATTAATATATAAGTATTATAGAGCTAGTAATAATAGATATATAGATAATTATATTAATAACTATCTAAAGAAGTATTTCTATCTAAGAAATAAATATATATATATACTAATTATAAAGTATAAGGAGTATACTACTCCTGGTAATCTATCTTTATCCTATAATAGGAGTATAATACTCCTGCTGCTCCTGTTCTTTAGATAGTAGGATTATATATAACTATATAATCTGTTATAGAGGCCTTTATTTATAATAAATTTAAATCTTAATCTATATTTAGATTTATCTATATATATTTTTAGATAATTTTCTAAGACCTATTCTATATATTGAATACCTAAAATTACCCATAGGTACCCGATGCCGGTCTCTACTCCTGGCTAACCTGAATTTGATATGCTTAGCTTGTTTTTTTCTGGGCACTTGCCAAGATCCTCGACCGCGCGGCTGCCCCATAAACATCAGGCTTAGCTTGCCTCTAACCGCGCGGCTGCCCCATAAATATCAGGCTTGGCTTGTTCTAACCGCGCGGTCGAGGGACGTATTTCACTGACAATCGATCCCTGGGCAGGGGGCGGAATCTATGCTAACACATCTGAAAATAGTATATCATTCTTTAGTGCAGCGCAGTGCGAGATGGAAGTCACTTTTGGGTTTCCAAGTTGCTGGCCCCGGGATAATTCAGATTCCTACAAGGTAATATGCATCTGTCTGTCTTATAAATCAGCATGAGTGGACTGCCCATTACATCAGAGGTCAATACGCGAGGGCGATAGTCCGGCATTTTGAAAATGTCCGGGAGTCGCGAGATGTCCGATGGTGATTCATCAACTAATGTATATTTATATGGCGGAAATTCCCTTTCTTTTCTACAAGTCTAACTATACAATTCAAAGATTACCGGTCTTCTATAATAGTAACATTTCTGTTTGCCCTTTGTAAAATCCTTTAATGAAAAAAATGATAGTGGAAGAGAATTTGAGTGTTCTTGAACAGGACCTTGCTGGCAAGAATGCAGTCATTACGTGAGCAAGCCACCCTGAACAGTGGCGACTAGAGCCGCAATATAGCTCTAGACTGCCTTATTCGAAAGCACATATTGACTTCTAATGTGTTATTCACAGCGGAGCGTCCCGCGGCATCGGGCGCGCCATAGCCCTCCACCTGGCCATGAGAGGGGCCCGTGTCATTGGCACCTGCTCCTCTGCCGGCTCATTGCCCCACTTGGAGACTCTGGAGCAATCGGTGACGAGAACATTTACAGCCGCGGGACTCCAGCCGCCCTCGATATTCGGCATCGCTGCGGATGTTAAGTCCGAGGAGACCCCTGAACTCGTCGCCCGAACCGTGGTTGAGCGCTTTGATTCCAAGCTCGATATCCTCGTCAACAATGCAGCATACTACGAGTTCCGCCCGATGGGTCAATTAGATGCCGCTCACGTCAACCGGATTCTGTCAGGGAACATTACGGCACTGGTCATATTGATGGACACCTTATACCGGCAAAACTTGTTTCAGCCCGATTCTCGGGTGGTCAATGTGTCGAGTGACACAGCGAAGATGTCAAATCTCCCTTTCCCGTAAGTTTTTGACGGCACCCAATCAACTTGTGCAAAATCTGGGATGAGATAATCAATTCGAAAACTGACACAGAAACTCAGTGGCATGCTTATCTTCTCCGCCACGAAATGCGCCATGGAGTCGCTTACACGTGCCTGGGCCGATATACTTGGGCATAACGAATCCAGTCTTGGCACAACAGTCAACTCCTTGTCGGTGGGGGCGACAGCGACTGATGCTATGAAGAACTCTCCATCAGCGCTTCAAGACATTGCTGAGAAGGTAATCCGCAACAACAAGGCAGAGCTGGGCATCATGGGGCGGGCAGAGGATATTGCCAACGTAGCAGGATTGCTGGTCAGCAAGAGGGCGGGTTGGGTCACAGGCAGTGTTATCGCTGCGAGTGGCGGTGCTACAAAGATCCTGTAGGAGATGTGGGCAAGGAGATTAAAGTGCGCTCATTAGAACAGATATGACATCTCGGGACTTACTGAGATACCTAAATGGATTGGTTGCTCTTAAGTAGGATGTAATAGCAACTATAGTGCTATGAAACCTCAGTCTTATAATTGTAGTATAGCTATGAATCCGGAGCCCATAATAAGATCCATAAAACTTGAAATTACTGGATCTAAGCAAATGGTCAAGTCTGAGTAAACTACTGTCTTTCTATTATAAGGCGTTATTTGCTCTCCGCTCTCTACCATGGTTGAGTACATATGGAAATACGCGCTAACTCACAGCTGGTGAACCACGTTCACTTTGCTAACCCGACTTTCACCACCGACAATCAATATCAACCTAAGATCAAGCGATTTCGCGCCAAGTGAAGTGATCCTGTTAGAATCAGTTTAACTTCCAGGGTGCCCGTTGTTTGGAAACTAATCTCAATTGGTGCTCCAACCTGACTATTGTCTCGTGTCAGCTCTTCGTATATTCAGCACTTCCGCTTCGAATCTGACCCGCGATAATTCTTCTTTACATGAGGGACCACCGGTAACGAAAGTAGCATAAGCGGAGAAAAACGAGAACCGTCGTCGGCGCCCACCCTTCATGGGCCAAAATGATGACTGCAAGCGCCGACAAGGACTGCGGCGTCATTTTCACCTGCACTGCTCACTTCGTCGAGCCAGACAAGAATTCCTCCTACTTCTACGAGCGCATGAACGTCGTCCCATCAGAGACGGCTCAGCTCGCATCCGATCTCTTCGACAGTGGTGGGTGTTTGCGCCCCGAGTACCGAAGTCGAGGAACCTGTCAGGATGTCACTAGCTGGGATAACGAGCTTGATAGCGGAGACATCTTTGTTTTTGAGCGCTTTAAGGTTGATAAACCCCTTCAGAGAAAAGGATCGGCCAAGAGTTTATGCGATAACCTCATCGGCCAGGCGATAAAGGAGAGTCAGCACTTTTCCGCTATTGTAGCACCTGGTGCGCTTGAAAGTGAGTACAGAGACTATGCAGGGCAGGAAAAGGAGAAGGTTGTCAAAGAGCAAGTTTCTATCGCTGTGCAGTTTGAGCTTGCTCAAGGATTCCGGAGAGATAGAGGGTCTAACTGGCTGGCCTTGACTTAATCGAGTTAGTTGAACAAAAGCTAAACATTGGTTAATTTAGAAACTGAAGGGGTAATAACGCTTGATTTCGAACGCTCGCGGCTTCTCTCGCTGTCCCAGGGCCAACTATTGTTTGGGCCAACTTATCGCGTATGCAAGGTTCAAGATCCTTAGGTGCAATATCTTGGGCGCTTTTATAGATACTATTACTATTCTGCTAATCCGGACTTGAGGCCTAATGCTACATGTTATATTGTTATTGCATAAATATCAATTTGGCCTCCAACTACTAATAATATCCCTATTAATAAACAATGCTGAAAGTCCTCCATCACTCTTGAAAACCTCTGCAACATCGTGATTAGCGTTTTTAATAATCGTCAGACGTAAGTTGATACTGTTATTAGAAATCGAACTCCAATCAGGAATATATGCAAAGTCTCCAGGAAATTGAGATACGCTGCGGTTAGTTCGTGCGAGCATATTGACATATTTGTACCACGCCATATGGCGATCACGTCTTTTTCTGCCTCCCTGGAGGTACGCCATACAAGAATCGTCGCCGTTACCCGATGTGTCTTGATAGACAACTATCGAAACAACATCACGAGTGATGTACCGCCTGAAATACTCTTCAGCGGACTCACGGCCGGGAAAACCGTCAAAGCCATATCTCCAGGTATTATATGATTTGCACCAATTACCAGGTAATTCTTCTTTTTTGGCGATTTTAGATCTGTCGTTGGTAAAATAGGCGCAACTCAACGGATCACCATGAATGTATCAAATGTGGATATATTCTGGCCCGTCTTTGCCCACGGCTGCGTATCTCTGTGAAAGCTGACCCCCTCCGCCATGGCCAACAATTGTGATGTTTGTCATGCTTGGATAAGTTGATTTGTTTGAAACTGCGTGAGCCAGGCCATCCAATACATCGATTGAAGTCATGTTTGTGCCTTTGGGATGTACCGCCTGTAAGCCTGCTTGGCATGTATTGATGTCGCCCCATGCAAGTTGGTTCTTAGTATATTGACCAGAGTTGTACGTTTTAGAGAAAAACTGAGGAGCGATGACCATAGTCTTCCTCTTTACCCTCACAGAGTCATTCTCACGAGCATCGCTAATTGCCTTATGCATAGTGCTCCAATAATGATCGCCATCGCGCCGCTTCCCATGAAGAACAATGAACAGGTGCTCAATGCTGCTCATGTTGGATGCCTTGGTGCGGAAAACCGGAATTGCTTCTTCTTTCTGCTTACCAATCTTAATGGAGGTGAACTCTGAGCCCTTTGGCGGCTTGACGCGACCATGAGCCTAAAACATGGGATATCAGTACAGGCTTGTGCGAGTTCGATGGTCTGCCCTTTCTACTAACTTCGCCTTCTTCCTTCACATTAGTTATGAGGAGATCTTGTAAAATTTCCCAAGAACAAATATCATAGGTCAAGTGGCTTGGGAGCTCGCGATGTTGGATCCATCCATCCGACTGTCGTGCCCCTAGAGAGAGGCATGTCATTGAGATAGCAAAGACCGAGTTTAGAAGGATATATATTGGTTTCATAATAGAGAAAAGGTGGAAAATCAAATTGTAGATCGATTCTGGTATACTCGCACGTAGTATCCAAGGCTGAACCCGTGTTACAAACTGACAGGAACTTGATACCCAGAGCAGAAGCGGGAGAGTGGATATATATCAGCAAATCCGAAAAGCATAGATATAAATCTGCTGAAAATTTTCGAAACGACAACGTCATTGATTATATAATGCTGTCCACGGGTTTATGAATGCCTGGATCGATGCTTTATGAAGGGATCATGACTTTGAGGGAAATATTATAGATTAATAGCTAGCAAGGGTGAAGCTTCATATGAAACTAGCAGTGAACAATCATGGAGATTGTGATGTGGGGCAATATCGGTGAATACCCACCATAGCAAAAATTTCGAGTTACCTCATGTTTTAGAGTTTAGCCTATGATCCTGACACTGGTCAATTGTTGATAAAGGCTAGAATGCTCCGAACTACCGCAGCGACAAGGTCTCAGAAACAGACCGATTCAAGTTTCTACTGATCGAAAACGCGCTCCAAGTATGTTTTAGAAGATAAATGCGAGTCACGTATGGTGTATATGTCCTAGTTGACCATGAGAGTTATTCCCTGGCCGGAGAAGAAGATATCTGGGATCTTGCGGCGAGGGTTGTCGCTTTGTCCGATTATCTGCGGGATCTCGTCCTGAGATAATACAGCAGATCGCCAGGTGTGAGCGAAGGCGAACTGAGATATTTTTCTTATGAAACCAGGTCGATCGCCTCTATATTGAGAGTCCATCGGTTGCGGTTGAGCGGTGTTATAGCGCGCGGGCCATCTGTGAAGGTGATCTCGGAGCGGTCGACGAGTTTTATGTTAAGTGGGTCAGAGTACCTAATACATACTCTGTTCCAGAGGGCTACTATACGGGTATAGCATGATGTGAACCTTGACGTCATATAAATAGTAGTTGTCCGTCGAAGCCTCTAAGGAATCAAGTAGGTGACACAATAGATGAGACACAAAATTCTTAGGTCCTCTTTCTAGGCATATCCTATCACCAGAAATATGCGGATAATGCCCCCGCCGTCGCCTGCCCAACTGAACTTCTCCGTCAGAATACCCGCGTTCTCGATCACGACGTCAACCCTGAGCAACTCCGCATCGATCTTGGCGGCGAATTTGATGACGGAGTCTTAGTCAGCGAGGTCGAGTTGCTACAACTTCGTCGGAGATCGCCTGAATTTGTCAATTGAAAGGTTATCTGGAATATAAGCTAATTATATTAGATAATAGCGATAATTGAATCTATTTTAGGGCGAAGGTTAAATCTTACCTAGGATAAAGTATATTAGACTTTAAATTTTAAATAAGTAGAAATATATTATTTTTCTAAATTATATAGTTCTAATACTTTAGAAGGAAATAATTATATAAATTACTATATATTTATTATAAATTATATTATTATATATTAGAGTTATATAATATATTCTACTTTTTCTAACTAATAATTAATAGATTATTAGAATTTTATAATAATTTTAATAATTTAGAATAATAAAGTATTACTAAATATTAATAATTCTCTAGTATATATATATATATATTTTACTAGATAGAATACTCTTATAGATAGTTATTAATATAATTATCTATATATCTATTATTACTAGCTTTATAATACTTATATATTAATAATAATTTATATTATATAGTCTATAATAATTTAATTATACTATTTAGAATAATATTCTAATTAGTTTAATTCTAATCTATTTTAAACCTTATTTAGTATAAGTTATCTAATTATTATATATTAATAACTCTTATTTAGCTAATTATTTTATCTTAATTACTATATAATAATAAAGAAAATATTATAATTACTATAGTTTCTTTAGTTTAATAGTAGAATTCTATTATTAATAATCTACTTATTCTAAATAATAATAATAATACTATAAATAAAAATAATAGTAAAAATAGTAGTAAAAGTAATAATAATATTAAAATTAAACTTCTATAAATATAAATTCTTTAGCTTTAGAAAACTAATTTAGCTATAGAATAAAAAAGAAATAATTCTAGAATAGAGATATACTATATAGAGAATAACTATATAGTTATATTCTCTTTAAAACCTCTTAGCTATTTAAATTTAGAGTTTATTTCTAAAGTTAATAAATAAAAGAGTTTATCTTTATTAATAGTTTTTATAATATATTTAGACTAAATAACCTATTAGAACTACTAATAATATTATATTTAATAAATAGAAGTATTAAGAATAAAAAGAAAGAATAGATAAATATAGAAATAAGAAGTAATTACTAAGTATTAATTATTTTATTTAATAATAAACTATATAACTTAAAACTATTAATAAATATCTATCTATATCTAGAAACTCTTTAGCTACTAATTATATAATATAGAAAGAAGTAATTCTAGAGTAGATTAGTATTAGAAAATAGAATAAAAAATAACTAAATAATAAGTACTAGTAGAATTTTCTAACTAATAATATTATAACTAAAGACTAAATAGATCTATAATTATAATATTAATATTAGCTAAAGAGATAAATTATAATTAAACTATATAGTTAAAACTAATAATTATAATTAATTATATATAGATTTAGTATTTAATTAGGAATTTCTATATTTAATTAATTAAATAAGATTATTTAGATTATTATATAAACTAAACTAGCTATAGAATAATAAGTTAAAAATTATAATTTTAAAAATAAAAATAATTTAAAAGTAAAAAATATTTTTTATTTTTAGAAATAGTAGTAGTTTATTATTTAAATACTTAATAGTAGATTATACTAATTAACTAAAGAAATTTTATATATTCTTATATCTTCTTAGATATATTATAATAATTTTATAAATTTAAAGTTATTTTACTAATATATTAATCTAATAGAGAGTATATACTAAATTAAATTAAATTATATAAAAGAAATAGATTTTAATTAATTAAATTAAATATTTTAATATTTTTTCCTTTAATTATCTTTCTATTCTATTACTAATAATATCTTCTTATTATAAATTCCTATCCTTCTATCTATTTTTAATATCTTACTTCTTTCTATTATACTTTTTTATTTTAAGTTTTTACTTAATTAGCTTATAATAAAGTAATTAGTATTAAAACTATCTCTCTATATATTTAATTAATTAATTTAAAAACTTATTTCTAAGTATTAGAATCTATAAGATTAATAGATATAATTATAATATAGATAATTTCTATTATATAAGAAATTTTATTATATTTATTAAGCTTTAGAAAGATATTTTCTAAGTATATACTAACTAAATAATAAAACTAATTAAATATTAAATCTATAGAACTTTCTAGAAAATACTATATTTATCTAGTTTTAATATTTTCTTAAGATATAAAATTATAAAGATTATTCTATTTTAAATATTAATAGTAGATTATTCCTTAGGATTTTAATAATTCTATTCTTTATTATACTATATAGGCTCTAATACTGCTATAGCCCCTAACTAGAAGGCTGCAGCAGGCCTTTTGCTATAGGTAGTTAGAGCACCTTTTGGGTATAATAGTTAGTAGTAATTCTGCCTGGTTATAGGTTTGATCCCCGTACTAGCCCGTATATACGGGGCCTAGGTCAGGGCCTCTGGAGATCTGCTGCAGAGCCTAGCTATAAGGCTCTAATACTGCTGTAGCCCCTAACTAGAAGGCTGCAGCAGGTCTTTTGCTATAGGTAGTTAGAGTACCTTTTGGGTATAATATTCTTATTAAAATAGAATTAATTAATTCCTTAGTAATATATATAGAGATATCTAATCTATATCTATTATATTATAATAAAATATATTAATAGTAAATAAATACTTAGTTCTTAATTAGTAGGGTTCTAGAAGTTTTTTTATTTCTATTTATAAAATTAATTTATATAATAGGGTTTTTAATTATCTATTTTATTTTAGAATTTAGATTATTAAGAGTATATTTATTATTAAAGATAGATATAAAAAAGATAATATTTATAGTATTTATAGTAGTTATCTTAAAGTAATCTCTATCTCTTTTCTTTTTCTATTTAGTAATTTAATCTATAAAGATAATTTAAAATAAATAGAATTTCTAGAAATAATCTATAAAAAGTTAAACTAAAAGATAATTAATTAATAAGCTAGATATATCTATATCTATATTATTAAGATTTACTCTATAGACTATAGAGTAGATCAGATTACCCTATACTAGTTAATTAAGTAATAATAGATTAATATAGGGTAAGAAGAAATAAAATAACTAACTTAGAGCTTTCTAAAGCTAGAAGCCTGTTAGAACTACTAGCCTAACCTACTATAGCTATTTATTAAAGTAATTATATTAGTAGTTATAACTACTATAATAGCTACTATAGTAACTATATTAATAATCTTATATTATACTATAGTAGCTATATTAGTAGTTCTTATATTTACTATAGTAGTTATATTAGTAGTTTTTATATCTACTATATAAGAATCTTAGTACTTAGTTAATAAATCTTATAATTATTATAATAGTTATATTAGTAGATCTTATATCTACTATAGTACTTATATTAGTAGTTTTATAACCCCTTATATAAGAACCTTATAATAATTATAAGTCTATATTATAGAAAATAATATATTATCTTTAAAGCTCTTAGAGTTCTAAAATATCTATAAGTATAGAGCTTCCTTCCTACTAGATAGAAGTTCTTTAAGCTACTAATTTACTCTTTTATCTACTCTATAATCTATCTTTTTAGCTACTCTATAGCTAATAAAGTCTCTCTTTCTTACTAAGTAGACTATTTCTTCTATTATATTTTTTAAAATAATCTCTTTAATATTCCTTATTTTACTCTATAGGCTATACTTACCCTAGATCTAGTTTACTCTATAGCTAATCTATTCTATACTAAAGATCTTAATCTTTTAAAAGATTATAAGCTT